AACTTTCTGCCAGATGTCATTAATTCACGTACAGAAATGCTATAAATGTGTGTTTTATTTCTGCCAGTACTCACCGAGACTGTTTCTACATTGAAATGTATGTTACCTAACATATTTGACCTTTTTTATCAACTAATGTATAACTTTACAGAACTGAAGGTCTCATGCTCAATTTAGATTGCAGGTAATATTAGGCAGGATAATAAGCCAAGTAGAAGTGCTTGGAATATGTAGGTTCATATGTATTCGAAGTGGACTCTCTAAATTGTTAGCTAGGCAGTCAATAATCCTGCTAGTGGACACCAGTCCTTCAACTAGGCCAGAAGTCTTGAATGCGATTAAGCTCCTGAAGGCTAGGAAAGTGGTGTGTCTGGATGGAATTCCTCCTGAAGCTTTAGGACTGACTGACAGTCCACAGCTGATATGCTCGCATCAGGATTGCAGAAAGTTTTGAGGGGATGAAAAGTACCTACTGAACGAGAGAAAGGCTACCTTGTCAAGCTACCAAAGAAGGGCAACTTGGGTCTCCGCAAGAACTAGTAAGCAATCGTGCTATTCTCTACCTCAAACGAAGCATTAAGTGGCACGATCCTGAAGAGGATCAAAGGTGCAGTGGATGCAAATCGCCACCCTCCGGAACAATCTATGTCCATGAAAAGTAGGTCCTATTTGTACAAAGTTGCAACGCTACGGACCATCATCAAAGCGAGATTAGAATGGCAGTCACACCCCCACCTCAACTTCGACAGTATTTCACTAAAACATGAAGAAAACGGAGCTAATGAAGATAATTAACCAACGGCAAGCTTTAATTACTATCAACGGGAGAAATTTGAAAAATGTCATCTCTTTCACTTGCTTGGGCAGCATAGTTTTCAAGTACAGGCCAAATGGATGAGGATGTCAGAGCCAGTTAGAACCAAGAGAGAATTACTTTGAAATCAATGTGGAAATCTACTGCATTCATCATAAGGAACAAAATTCGTATTTCGAACACTAATGTAAGGTCAATTCTGATGTATCGTTCAGAGACTTAACTTGGGCTTCATGAATACAATTTTCAACAGGCCATTGCAGACTTCCATCAACACCCGACTTCTCTGCCTCGATAGTGAATATCGAATGACCAGTCATCAATGACAATCAACAAACATCTTCGTCAGCTAACCAATCAGGAAATTTCTGCCCAAAAATATGAAGAACGCACATGCTGGGGAGAAAATTGAGTGGTGTCACGTGCCACGTCCTCAAGTGGAACCCAAATAGGAAAAGAGGAGTTGAGTATGGGTTGGACATTGGCATGGAGGAAACCATGTGCGCAGGGATTGAGAGCATGTGTGCTATCGTAGAGACAGCTGTTAAAGACTTCAGAGAACAGGATGATATGGGGTTGTGCTTTTGAAGCCATCTGTATTCCACTTGGAATTCAAGTGAAAATTAATATGGTAATACTAGTTTTCAAGCAATTTTAGCTATGACCAATTTCAAATCACTTCAGAAACATTATGAAGGATTGTTTTTAGTGTACAAACCGAAAGCATAAAGGCGATAGACTTACTTTTTTTCAAAGTTGCTAGAAATAATAAAGATATGTTTCATTTTTTTGCGAGTGATTTTTTTTGGATTATAGCTTGAAACCACACAGTATTTTTTAGTGGAATTATGGAATTTTCAGCATGGATACCGGTAGCCCGAATTTCTCAGGCCGACCATAGATATCAGGTGTGCGCCGGCAGGGGATCGAACCCCGGAGCATGTGCATGGTCTGCGAGAGTCCTAACCACTGTGTCACCGACGCACAGTGGTAATTTTGAGGTGAAACACTTTGAAGGATATTCTCTGCATAATATAATGTGATTTACTGAACATAAAAGATACTGCAAATTCTCAGGTGCCCATCTGAAAGACCCGGCTAAAGTATATTAAAATAAAATAGGTTTGATCATAAAAATATAAGTTCCTGTCCTCAAAAGCAGTTACAAAATACAACTTCTAAATCTGTAATGCAGTCAAGCAAGAGTGGGCCAGAAACCAAGTGTTAAATTTATGGGGTTTTTTTTAAAACTTAAAAGCATATTTAACGAGTTGGTGAGATTATACTTTTTGCTGGCCTAAACAGCTAAATCAATTGCTAGTCATTCTCATATTTGTTGATCACTTTGAATTGTTGAGGTTAATGAATTACGTGTATCTTGGAGAAACCACCAGGGACATGGAGCAGAGATAGTCGACTTAAATCACTGTCACGTTATGATTTTACACACTATGTGTGACAGTAGGTATGGATGGAGACGTTGAGAAATCAGGCCGTCTTAATGTAGACAAAACAAATCTGCACACTATATTGTCAAATCATTTACTATAGCAAAAATATTCATTCAGATATCTATAAAACACAACATAATCGAGCAAAAAATATTCTTTTCAATAAATTCCTCTTCAGGCTCTACAATTATATACATGTTTATATACACAGAATATTCAAGGTTTGAATGATTCTCAATTTTCGTGAAAATTTCCTAATTTTAGTTGATATCCTACTCGCTATTATATCTTTATTACTATTATAATTTAAGTATTTTTAGTGAACTGTAATTGCATTGATCTTGCTTTACAAATCGATATTATTTAAAAAACACTAATATTGTTATTAACTACCAACCTTGAATATTCTGTGTATATAAACATGTATATAATTGTAGAGCCTGAAGAGGAATTTATTGAAAAGAATATTCTTTGCTCGATTATGTTGTGTTTTATAAATCATTTACTGTTCATACAATCTGTGGTCGATTGTCAGTGGTTAATATGCTAAACAGCCTGACAGATGGTTATGTCTTTAAATCTCAGTCGTTAATGAAGGATAGTAAAATAAATAAATAAATTGATTGATTGAATGATTATTTTGAACCCGAATTCTCGGTGCATGTTAACAACATTTCGGCTCTTACTGCTCACGCCTCGACGATGTGTGAGTATTAACACGATGTTATCATTTTGGCTAATGGTTTCTAGCATTGGAGTCACGGATACGAACTTCGTCCTATTTAGACCTCCTCAACGAGTGTGAGTGCTTTCTCAATGAGTGGTTGCGTTCCCTCTGAGAATGGCACCCTGCATCTATGTTACCGAAAGCAAACGGTGGATGGTGGGTTCGTATCTCGTTTAGAAAGACACCACACACCGAGAAAGCAATCAAATCCGGCTGACGAGCCATACATAAGATGAAATGTTCATCCTGAATTCCACTGCTAGTCATCGTCAATCAAAATAACAACAGACTATAATGTTAGAAATAGCGAAAAAGAGAAGAGTAGCATATTGTTGGGTCGATATGAGACCTTGGTGTTTTTCTTGTTATATTACCTCCTTAATCATGTCTAAAGTGAATGAATTGTTTCAAACCTATTGATATTTATTTTTCTCCCTGCAAACATGTCGAAGCTGAAATTCATCCAGTGTTAACACGTTTTGAATATTTTATTATTTCAACTTCAATTCTGATGAAACACGATTGACGCCTCAATGAAAATGCTGCTATCAGTTGAAAAAATGATTCTGTACTCAGTGCATGTTCACAGACGTAATCTTTTTCTTTCCAAACTTGAATTACGCGAACAGTAGTTTAATAAAACGATTTTTAGAGACTTACCATTTTCACACTCTGAAATGTGTGAAATATAATTCTCAAGTTATTCCATAATATTTAGCAATAATGCAGTTTATTCACTAATTATTATTATTATTATTATTGTATCCTTTAGTTCCTAGAGGAACATAGGGCTTCAGCTGCGCACCTCCATTGCCTTCTGTTTTCTACCAACCTTTTCACGCCGCTCCAGGTCTGTCCACATGCTTTCATCTCCTCCTCGCATTACCTCTTCCAAGTCACCCTTGGACGACCAACTCGCCTCCTCCCTTTCGGGTTCCACTCGAGGGCTTGTCTAATGATGTCACTTGATGGTTTCCTCAGAGTATGGCCAATCCATCTCCATTTCTTCCTGCCAATTTGTTTCACAATCGGTTCCTGCTGGGTTGGTTCGCTCATTCCCAGAGATTCCTGCTGCTGATCTTTTCTGGCCGGCCATCAGATCTTCAGTAGTATTGAGCGAAGACAGCTGTTAATGAAGGTTTGAAGTTTGTTTGAGATGCTCTTTATGACTCGCCAAGTCTCTGATCCGTATAGTAGCACTGACTTCACATTAGAGTTGAAAATCCGGATGTGATTTTTGATGGTGAGTGCTGTTGACCTCCACACAGATTTTAGAGTAATGAAAGCTTGTCTTGCTTTTCCGATTCTGGCTTTGATACCCTCGTCAGTTCCGCCTGTAGTTGAGACGATGCTTCCCAGGTAGGTGAAGGAGGTTGTTTCTTTCAGGTTCCTCCCATTTACGCTGGCTGATTGTTGTCTGTTGTTGTTGTTGATGTTGGCTAGGAATCTTCATCATCTCTGTTTTATCTATGTTCACGTGAAGTCCTATCTTTGATGCTTCTTGTGCCAACTTGTTGCTTTTCACTTGCATATCTTCCAGTTTGTGGGAAATCAGACATATATCATCGGCGAAATCCAGATCCTCCAAGTCTTTTGTGTGGTTCCATTTAATGCCTGTTACCTCGTTGGTTTCCGTTGTCTGTCGCATTATCCAATCTACTACCATCAGGAAAATCACTGGTGATAGTAAGCAGCCTTGTCTCAATCCCGTCCTCACTTCGAAGGCTTCCATAAGTTTCCCGTTGTGGATTACTTGGCATGCAGCATTGTCGCATAGCTGTTGGATGAGATGTATAATTGGTCTATTTATCCTTCTGCTAAAGATATAAAACGAGACTAGGAAAGAGGAAAAAATCCCACAATCAGCTTGCGCACAATTTCTCTAACTAATATTGATTTGGAATCTTAGTCAAATCCAACATCAACTATTTAAGACTACCTAAAATCATTTAACAAAAAATATATACTGTTCAGATACTCTGATAATTGGTTGTCAACGCGAAAACTATCAAAACTTACCAAAAGTTACGTCATTTACTGAAGTTTAAAAAGGCAGACAAATTTAGTGGCTAAGAATATTTAGTGTGGATAATTCGACAGATAATTTACTGATGAAATTTATGTTAGAAAATGAGCTAGGATACACCCAAAATACGTTAGTCCAAATGGGTTATCCTAGTAGATTTGTAAGGAGACACATGAATGCCAAATACAATAAAGAAAACCTCACAACAGTTGAAAAGAAACAACTGTTTATGAAACTGCAATTTAATGGGGACGTGGCTAGCGAAGTCTTACATCTGAGATTATCGAGAGCGATAAAACAAACTTATACTGCCACCATCCTCTGTTTGTCATTTTCCAGCCGACCAATTTTGATTGCTCAAGTGAAAGATAAGCTACCTAGCTGTGCCACTTCCATGTGTATCTATAAATTTAGTTGCTCATGTGGAGGCAGCTATAATAGGCCGAACAACTAGACAGCTTAACAAACGCATTAATGAGCATCTTCCTTCATGGTTCGAAAAAGGTCAAATAAAATCTATAAGAAGTTCTATTTTGGCTCATTCGATTGATAGTGGTCACCAAGTGAACAAAAATAGTGCCTTCAAAGTTATCTATCGCATTCCATCGAGTCTTTCGAACGGAACCAGAACCCGTCGTTTACACTTAGCTGAAGCTATGGGAATTCGAGAGAACACCCCTAGTCTTTGTATACAATAGAAGTTTGTTCTACCAAGTTTGTCTCTCCCTCACTTAGCCTAGGTGAATTCTATTCAAAACCCTCTCACCCTTTCTTAACTTCCATCTCCTTCGTACTTTTATGATACTTATTTAAACTCTGATTATCGTTCCATTTCACCTTTTCAGATTTGACCTCATTTATTTATTTATTGAATTGTCTACATATACACATTTATACACATGCCATCTTTGTTATTCTTATCACCTGTATAAACCTTATTATCAATATTTTGTTATCATTATAATCATCGTTATTAATTTCGTTCGAAACATTTACCACATTATTATTATTACTGTCATTATTTGATCCACAAAATCACTGTCATTGGTTAAAATTTTTTTATATATAAGTCTATGTAAATTAGAGTAAAGCCCTAAGAAGATCTAATTGAAAACAACAGTATTGTTCGCTTATATGTCTTGTTCAAATATTATAAATGGGAATATTTAAAGATTTGAAATCTATGTAAATGAAAATGAATATATATTTTCACCACGTCTATATGAATGGAATGCTTACTTTGATAAGATTTCAATAAGTTATCTCGCCTTTCCGCATCTTCGATTGATTTCTGAAGCTTTTTCTTGATTGGAACTGCAATACGTGTGCTATTTTTAATTGTGTTTGAAGCATTTATGTGAAGTAGTGTGCTAAAAGATACGCTACGCATGTTATAAGTATGTGGATAAACGCTGGTAGTGCACGTATCTGAAAATACAGGACGGCCTACCAGAGCAGGTTTTAGAAGCTCTTGCATCTGAAATCGAAATCATTCGGAAAATACAAAAAAAAATATATTTTACCATTTGATCACGGATTGATATCAGTTAAAGAGCAATTGAAAACCAGGGAGTACTGGACAGCTGCTGTTTCATCCTAGTTTGGGAATCATCGGCAGTACGCATCCACTGGGATTCGAGCTCAGGACCCCCCAGTTACAAGGCATGCTCGTATACCATTCAGCCACTGGGACCCAACTCAATGGCCAGTACATGAATTCTAACTTCTACCAATTCGGGATTTAGCGCGACCACAACCCCTGTCTTTGGTTTAACATTCATCCACACACGTGACATCTAATTGGACCTCACTGGTCACGACTTCCCACTAGAACTCCAGGAAACTCCATCTTGTAGCAAGTAACTAGCGAGCATCAGAATAGTTTTCTATAGTTTGGTTTGTAAGTGTCAGTTATGTTTTTGTTTGATGATCAACTCGTAAAAACACAGCTAACCCTTACAAAACAAACTGTAGAAAAAATACATAGTTTTATCCCATAAACAAAAATTAAGAATGGGGTCAACTATCAGAGGAGGTAGATGAAATGTTGTTATTTTGTGATCGTGACAGCAAACTAAACCACTGGCTAATTATCACTGGGTCAAGAAGAAATATGAAGGAACTTGTATTTGCATTAGATGAGATGATTTCTCAATGAAGAACACAGAGGCGCCTATAGGGAATATCGCAAATGGGGCAAGTTACAAGAAAAAGTGCTGAAATCTGATAGAATTACATTAAAATTCCTATTTGCACACACCATCCCTGTTATGGTGCGTCGGTGGCATAGCGGTTAGGATGCTCGCCGACCATGCACATGGTACGGGGTTCGATCCTCGGCCGACGTACTCCTTTACCTCTCTAAGCCAGTAGTGACATTGGTAAAGAGGAAAGGTTGGACATGAGGTTAGCAACCCCATCCTGTAAAATAAACACTGCTACAGAATCTTCAAGCCACTGGCTTGAAGCCCTATGTTCCACTGGGGAACGTGAAGGAAAAAAAATCCCTGTTCTGCTTTTTGTATTGGCTGACAAGATTTTCTTTATTTCTCTTGTTTCCAAAGCAATCTGGTACCCGTCTATTCAAAATTATTAGAGGCGACTTCTCACTTCACATGCTGCCTACAAACTCTTTTCATTAGTTCACACCATATTCTTTATTATGCCTTTCTAGACTAGGCACATCTTATATTCGTTTTGGTGGGAGAGATGGAGAACACAAACAACATCTGCGGTGCTCTGTGTCAGCGATCTTAATCCAAGTTATCAGCAAATATCTGTATTCACTTACTAAGTGTTTCCGTGTTTTATTTTCTCCCTCAACGCTTTTTTAAGTTTGCGATAAGTGATACTTAGTTTAAACATATAAAGGTGAAAATATATCCATTCGATCTCAGGTACTTGAATAGTAATAATAATTTCCTTTATTCCAGAAACAGTACTAGTGGTACAGTGTGGAATTTTCAGCACATATCTACACTATTGGATCTAGTTTCATCGCACATTTGGAAGGAGTATTTCAAAAAGTAAATATTTAAAAAAAACACAAAGAAAACACAAAACTAACAAAAAAAAATACGAAAAAATACCAAGAAGTAAAAAGGAAAATAAACAACATAAATAATATTCGAGTATTGGGTAATGGAAGCTATGATATGTTTATGCGTGGTGAACAGTAAAACTATAGCATACAAGAAGTTATGAAAATGCTCTTAAGAATGTTTATAGCCAAGATGATCGGTTAATTTGATTGAACAACACTAAACAATCATAAGATAAACATTTCAGGGTTTTTTTATTGTCAGCTCTAATGTGGTGTTAGTTGTGGTAATGTGAGTAATCATGCATGATACAAAATGTTAAGATCGTGATAACGGCGTTCACAACCAAGATTGTCAGTTTTAATATTGCCGAACAAAAAAACAATTACAAAACTAATATCACATGATGGTTAATAACAGGACAATTTTGTAATACTCATAGTGATAATATAGTCGGAACCAGTAGATACACAAAAGAAGGAATAGAATAGAGTACAAAAAGTAAGCCAATGTTAATAATTTAGGTAGCTAAGTATGTTTAAGAAGGTTGTTGACTATAGAATACAAATCAGAGAGAAATAAAAGAGCCAAAATTATGTTATTGACAACAAAGCAAGTCATGGGTTTCGCGCTTAACATTGTCTCTGTCACTTAGAACATGGACCAAATATGGTATCGTTGAGTTCCTATACTTGGTTGTACGAGCATATATTATTTTGTACTGATTTCCGGTTCTACCTGATGAGATGCAAGGAGAGTGTTAGGAATAGAGGGGGTGTTGGGGGTCGGAGAGAATGGTTTTAGACCATTTTTCGCATGTATTCAGTTGCTTATCTACTAATGTAGTGACGAACTGACTGAGTTTAACACCGCTAGTCCTAGTAAAACTACCTTCAACATCCTTCTCAGGATGGTATAGTCCTTTTTCATTAACCGAGGAAAGACTAATGGGGAGCAGTAAAGTAGAATAGGTAAGATACGAGAGTTGACAAATTGTGAAAGTAGAGATTGGGTGATTGCAGATAGTCTAGGTTCCTAATGTAGTAGGGTAGACGGAACACTCTTGAAAATCGTTAGGATATGAGATGACCATGTAAGGTCTGAAGATAGAACTAGTTCGAGGTATTTTGCATTAGACTTAGTTTCAGTTTTAGTCCCCTCAATGCTACAGGGTTCATGAGTACTTACTAGCGTTTGTAGATCTCGTTTATGCTTAAAGGAGAGGTCAATAGTCTGACATTTTGAGGGATTCAGCATGAGGCCATTTAGTTTAGACCACTGACTGATGTCCGACAGGCTGCTATTCAATTTGAAACAATCTGACTGAGACTTAACGGGAAGCAAAATAGTCAGGTCATCCGCATATTTGACGAAGTTGATTTCGTCTGAAAGAGGTAAGTCATGTAAGAAGAAGGAAAAGAGAAACGGAGAGAGAACAGCACCCTGAGGAACTCCAGCTTCAGTAAGCAAAGGGGAGGGAGCTACACCATTATATACCGTGTACTGCATCCTATTGGAGAAGTAAGAGTGCAGGCGGTTGATATTTCAGGACTCAGTTTGTGTAAGGCTGAGCTTGTTTAACAAAAGGCCTCTAGGTACAGAGTCGAAAGCAGATGTATAATCAAGGAACGTACAACGGACGTACTTGGCCCATTTGTCTAAGTATATCAATAAGTGTAAAGGATAATTTCTTGAATATTAACTCAACTATGAACAGAGGTAAATAAAAAGCTTCATGACTTTTGATTTATGTGTTTACAGTGAACTAACTTTCAAGCATAAAGCCTTTTCCCAGTTTGAAATTAATTTGAAGATATCATCTCGATACCACTTTTCATAACAGTCACCATTCTTTATGTCTCCTTGAAACGTGATTAAAATTGTATCTACAGAAAAACAAAACTAGAACAAATTAACTCAGACAAATAATGGTGATACAGCATGAAGGTTGATCCTTCCTATCATACTTCTCCCAGTTTCCTAAAATTAACTGCTTTTTCCATCTAAGTCACCACAATAAATTTAAGCGAGTCACAAATATATCAGTAAAGAGATCATAAGAACACATCTCTGAGATATTTCTGATTAGGAAAGGAGGTTTTCTTTCCAAGATAAAAGTATAAACATTCTCTACATATAAGTTTGGTTTATTTCATAAAAATTGGAAATTGGTTTCTGATAGTGGGCGCTACTACTCGGAGACCTCGTTGCTAGCTATTTGTGAGTAGTTGATTGGAAGTTACAGACACATTAGAACTATTCTGGTTTTGACACCTCCAGTTCCAGATACATCTCAAACAAAGTGGCCATTGCAAGAAAATCTTCACTGTCCGACAGAGTGAATTATAATGTCAGATCACTCGATTAAATTATCAAACTATGAAAAGCAAAATCCATGAATCGAATATCCGCATATAACACGGCTAGAGTGGAGACAAATATATGCATGTTGGATCATTAATCATCTATCCAGTATCATATAACTCATCGTTGTTTCTCAATCAGTCATATGAAACAGCCTCGTGGTAGACATGTTGCTCGGTGACTCCATCCTAACACAAATATATCTTTTGATTGGAGACTAGTAACTAGTGTGTTGTGTCTAGATACGCCTTGCTGATGAGTGCCAACTAGTATGAAACCTCGGTCCAAGGCTTCCTGTCGACTGCCTTCAACCATATAACATCATTAAACAAATATATCCTTTTAGAAAACGCACCGTTAAACATATAAACCCATGCAATCTGTTGTTCTACAGTTATAGTAAATTATTGGTCGTGGTAGTAAGTCCAATTAATTAAAAAGCCAACATTCTATCACTTCACTACTTGTTTCGCAGTACAATTACAAGCCTCCTCTTATCATTTCACAATCATTCCGCTTACCTCAAATCTTAATTATTAAAATTAAATATCGGTACTGCATGATTAAAAAAAAAAGACTTACCTGTATTGGCTTGCAAACAAAGACAAAATGAAACGATACAGAAATTTAACCAAGCGAGACTATTTGACATATTAGTGAATTTTTATTAATTGCTATATAATCAGCACCTTTTATATTTGCTCACAAGGTAATTTATAGTCCCTACTGTATTCTAATTGGTTGTGATGTATACATCCATCGTTCTTGTAGACAGAACAACCATATGAAATATTCTCTCAGAAAATACATTATGCGAACCTGTGAGAAAATAGTTTGTACTATTATCCATATAAACTGTTAAGTGAGTAATGAATACAGTTTTAGAAGAGAACAGAACACGTAACAAAGATGACAGTCAGAGGAATGAAACAACTCCTATCATGCGTGACCACTTATGCATATTTGAAGTCATTTTGCAAAATATGATTTCATTCCATTAATCTTTGAGTGGAGCATAGAGCTTTAAGCGTGAGCATTGAATTTTCAGTAGTATTGGCATTTATGGGAGAAATCTGAAAGAGGCAAACTCCTTTACCTAACTGGAAAGCATCGTTTCAACTACAGGCGGGTGGAACTGATGAGGATATCACAACGACGATTGGGAGAGGAAGGCAAGCTTTCAATTCCCTCAAGACTGCGTGAGGGTCGACAGCACTCAACATGAAAAATAGGATTCGGATTTTCAACTCAAATGTGAAATCAATGCTACTATACGGTCCAGAGACTTGGCACCGCGTCACGAAGAGCACTTCGAACAAACTACAGACTTTCACCAACAACTGTCTTCGCTCAATACTACTGAAGATCTGATGGCCGGTCAGAAGAAATCAGAAACAGGGATCTCTGGGAGAGAACCAACCAACCAGGAACCAATTGTGCAACAAATATCCAGGAAGAAATGGAGGTGGATTGACCGTACTCTGAGAAAATAAACCATCAAGTGACAACACACGTCAGGCCATTGCTCGAGTGGAAGACAAATGGTAAGCGGCGAGTTGGTCATCAGTGCGATAGTGTCATGGAGGAGGTCATGTGAAGAAGATATGAAGGCATGTGGGCAGACGTAAGGGTCAGGTGAAAACGTTTGCAGAGAACCGAACGCAATGGAGACGTGCGGCTGAAGCCCCATGTTCCTCTATGAATTAAAGGAAATAATAATAATAAATTACCAGAATTAGAAGCCAACGAGTGGGAAAGAGTTTAAGAGCATGGTAGAATGAGAGACTGAACAAACATTTTGCACACACAGAGTTCGGGATAGTACTGATCAGTAGCCACCACCTCCTCCATAAACAAGTGTCGATGTCTATAAACCCTTGTATAATTCGTTGTTACACTGCAAATAATTGCCAGTGTACTTTGGGAGGGAAAATATGCGTGGGGTGTACAACAGAAAAGAAACTACATATTGGATAGAACAGCCCCATTCACTGATGAAATCTATGTTCCTTCTAGCTCTTTACTGATCGATCGTAAAATGAAGTGAAGTCTCTAAACAAGAAATTTGATGGCACCAGTAAAAGCTATGGTGACCCAAAAAGGCCTGAGAAACAGACTTCGCTGGCACAAGTCAAAAATCACAAAGCCTAAGCGCGAGACACAATTCTGAGTGACCTATACCACAATATATTTCAACGCTAGTCTTTTCCATATTCCATTCAAGCCTATGTAGCATACTGATGAAGTGATGTCGTTTTCACATAATGAAAATTAGGTCCTGTAACGAATTCATGGATTAGATATTTAAATAAACTATTTACTACTGATTGCCTAGGATGAGTAGTTGCATACCACTCAAAATAAACCAGTAGTGCTTGCTAGCCAGAACTCAATCAATCACTGCTATATAGTTGTATGCAGATTTGCCTTCTATTTTCATCACCACTTATGCAATCAAACAGACCACATATTGTTGTAAATTGAACAACTTGAACTCCAAAGGAAACTACTGTGAAATGTCACCACTCAAATTGTGTAGACTGCAAATCGCTGACCAACTTGCAAATTGTGCGTTAGATATTTGAAAGTCTCGACAGTATCACAGATGGAAGGTATTTCTGAATATATTCATTGAATTTCTCGTGAAGCAATAGATTTCTCATTGGGAATACCCGTATTTCATACGTTTATCAAGCTTAGATAAATAATTTTATCGTATGATATAATACAGTGAATATTGGTAAATTTGATGAGAAGGGCTTTCTAATGTATCTGATATTCTGTTGAACTCTCATCCAGGTTGCAGAGTGTTTAAAGTGTGCGTGAGTACAGTTTTTCATTGTCTGTTGTATAACCAAGAAAGATGAAGTTCATTCTGTTTGAAAATAAATTCTCATAAATTTTGTAATTGAAAAAAACATTGAGAAAATGTTGGTCACAAACTATTAGAGGGAATACAGGTAAGTGTGTGTGTGTGCATGTGTGTGCGTGTGTGTCTGTGTGAAGTGAATCTTTGTGAGGATATTTGCTTATGCTCTCTCTCCCTCTCTCTACAAGTGAACTTGGAAATAGTACAGTGTGTGAGATTTTATTGGAAAGCAGGTTCTGAATAAATATGTTTAAATTGAGCGTGTGAATAAATCAAAAATAACTCATGTATGCATACTACATACACATATGACTCAGATTTCCAATGTAACTAAGATACTTTCCTTGGGGAATCTACCAACTTAATCTGACATTTAGTACCTAATTGGTGGGTGGTGACTAGTACTGGAATCGAGGATGCGCATTTCGTCCTATTCGGGACTCATTGGCTGAATGTACATGCATTCCGCAGGATCATTTATTATTTCATTTTCTCGACAGCCAGTTGAGATCACTAGTTAATCGCCAGTTGGAAATTTTGATTTGTTTCCGTTTATACACTTGACAATTCATCACTGACACAGAGTGGGAGATGACTCATTTTCTCAGTGCCATTTCTCCAGGGAGCATTTCAGTATGCTGCCCTAACAGAGACAGACTCCGGCTGTAAACAATTTCTCACTGAAGTTTGTGAGCAGATATCAGAATATTAGGGCATCGAGACCTTCTCTGTAATTATCCCCACGAAGAGATGCAATTGTCAAGCTGCCTTACACATTTACCCATATCAGCCTGAAACTCAATCAAAGACTGAAATCTGTAATTAGGAAGACATTTCATGCATCTGGCGGCCTAATCGTTTCTCAGTCGAAGACTATTTGTCCTTGTAAACGTCAATAACAGGTGGAGAATGACCTCATACTCCACTATATTTATCAGTGTGCAAGTGGTCACATATGCGAAAGGAGGACTTATCGATCCCTGTGGGTAAAGGCTGCAGAATATGTCTTTATGCAGATTTATTCGCTGGAATGTATTATCGGAAGAAACAGACATCCAAGCGGCTCGGTAGTGAAGGATATTGTGAAAAGAATTAAATCGTTGTGTATACATCATTCAAATTTCATTTGAAACCAGATCAGAGTAGAATACTGAGGTTTCAGGAAGCCTCAATAGTAAGAAAACAACAACCACTCTTACTGATTCATAAAAAGTTAGTCATGGCACAAATGCTCTTCAGTGAATTCAGTTTTGAATTCGAAATTAGTGTACTTATCTTGTTTCTCACACTTCACAGATATTTGCATTTCGACTTTCACCTTAGTCGCTGAATCTTTTCTTCACTACTTGACAACACCAGATTCAACAGAACCTACTATGACAAGCATATTTGGAATCAAAATATTGAGAATATATCAGTTGAATAGAGTAAAAGATTTGAAAACTTTCCAGCCTGACGTTATTTCGTGGAAGTCAGTATTATTAAGAAATATCATAAGTGATGTGCGTCGGTGGTATAGTGGTTGGGACGCTCGCCGACCATGCACATGGTCCGGGGTTCGATCCCCGCCCGACGTACTCCTTTACCTCACTGAGCTAGAAATAATGCCGGTAAAGAGGAAAGATTGAGCATGAAGCTAGCAACCCTCTCCTGTAAAATAAACTACGCTACAGAAAATTCAAGCCATTAGCTTGAAGCCCTATGTTCCACTGGGAAACGTAAAGGAAAAAATAAATAATAATAAATAATCATGATTGATAGGGTAAATCACATAACTCCAAAATATCAAATGGATGTGTATCACTGCAACAAGAGGAGATAGTAACCATTCAGACAGATGGTTGGAGATACAGCTCTAACTAGACTGGTGCAAAAAATTTGTAAAACTTTTCGAAGGAAAAGTTTTACAAATGTGTGTGAAAAAAATGGACGGACATCTCTCTAATGGATACACAATTCAGCGATCCTTGTATTGATTGCTGCTGAACCACACAATGACTCTTCCATTTGCAGCAATGTCTCTTCCAAGTCTGTGCAATCGTATTTATAAATGGGTGACAGAAAGTTTCCTGGTGTATGTGTTAAAATTTGGTATTGATTTGAAACAATGAAATGCGATAATATTGCTCTGAACGAATGTGAATCCTGTAGCTGCATACCCTCATTTCCATCAGAATCAGGTGTTGTCGGATCAAGGCATTCATAACACCAAGTAGGGTAACGCACCAGATTCGAAAAATGTAGGAGGGACACAATTGTATCCTTTGGAGTATACCTGGTGAAATTACTCATGAGACAGCTGCAACAACTCTTCTTCCTTGAGTCTCTCAAACTTTGGAAATTATCGGAAGCCACCATGATAGTCACTTCATCAGTCGATAGCTTCAAGAGGTTAGACCATCATGCAGAACGAAAGACATGCGTTCATCCATAGACAAGCACTCTATAGGGAAATAAGCAGGTCGCAACAATGTCCTACCTATTTCTGCACACTTCACTATTTCACAGTAGTATTTTACTGTATCAGTCTCATTCACTTCTTTAATCTCTGTTGTCGGCATACTCCGACTGACTAGTGCCAGATATTCTTATACCAGCTTCCATTTCTTTAGTGGACCAGTTTTCTAGATTTCCCTCAGTCACAATTAGTATCGCGTTTCCTGGTGTGTTTGCGATCCCGACTGGAAAATTTTAAAGCAAAACGAGATTTAGAGGTCTGAGTAGCTCCATTTCCTTTGTACAAACCGTATGTTCACACCAAAATTTGGTAATTTGGTAATTTC